TGGAGTCCCAAGGTACCACTAAGCACTTCAATACATGGCTGGCAATAACAGAAATTAGGTTTTGTGCTCTTTCTCAACTCTTTTTCTTTTGCCTATTCTTTTTATCTTTCCTTTCAAATCACTGTAAAAATCTAATAAATTATAATTTCTTTGTTATCGAGATTGTTAACCCAGGGTCTGTTCTGGTACATGATGGAGCTGTCTGTGTCCCTCACTCTTCTCTGAGGTGGACGTAACATGTGCATGGTATTTCAGTTACAGATAATTAGGTAACTGTGATACAATTACTACAATTTAGCCTTATTTCCATATCTCAGGACAAAGTTTTAAAATAGAGAAAGATAAAGATTGTTGGGTGGCTTTACCTCAATGAGGAGTGCCTTCGGCAGATTACTCTAAGACTTAAGTTCAAGCTGAGTGGTACTTGTTGCATGTGCAATCAGGGCTGGGCTACATTTCTTCTTGTAAAGTATCATTTATTTTCTGTATTCTCCTTTGATTGAATTGTTCCTGAAAATATCTAGATCTGTGCCATGGTATGTCACAGTGTTATGAATCAATGAAATTTCTAAATTTTAAATACTGAAGAAGTATATCCCCGAATCAGTCCAACTGAGAAAGAAAGAAGGAAGGAGAGAAGGAAAGAAAGAGGGAAGGAAAGAAAGAAAGAGAGCTTCCTGGCATCTCCCTAGAGGTGCACAGTGTTACGTCCTTCAGTTTTTTCACAGGATGCAGCAGAAGCTTGGTGCATTGATTTGATGGGCAAGGAAACCAGTCCAAATGCAGAATTACTGTGTTTATTCTCTTTGGCAAAAACACAGCGTTTGACAAGAATAAGTTATGACCGAAACCTCAAGCCTTACAGACTAAATAAATGCTGAGGTCATCTTAATAAACACTTTCTTTGACAAATCCTTCAGTTTTCCTTTTAGTCAAGCTATTAACTCTTCTGTGGAAGCAGTGCTTAGAGAGTTCCCATCAGACAAGAAATCAGGATAAATCATTGACACCAATGACTATTTTATTACTTGGGTAAACAGCAGTGGCCTTGCAAAGTCACACACCGTCTCTGAAGGCAGCCGCTCCACGAGCCTCTCCAGCAAAGGTCAGGGATCTGCCCAGGCTCTGAGGCTGGACTGAACCCCCAGGGATGCCCAGGGACTGGGCTGCACTGATTGCAATATTGCTCTAATCAGTAAAATAAAAGCTTCGTTCCATCAACAGCTAACCATATGACTTCATTTGTCTCCAGCTTCGTTCAGTTGCCTTGACAGATGAGAACACAATAATATAAATAAGAAATGACATTTTACCAAAGCAGGTTAACATAAGGTCACAACCTTTTTTCATTTGACTTCTGTAGCTTATTCATGTGTGAAAACATGTTTTTGTAGCTCTAGCCTCAGCATGCTTTACAGATCCGGACTTGTGCTGAAAGCTGAGTTTTAAAATGGTATTTACATTTGGAAAATAGCATTTTGCTTTTTGTGATGTTTGAGTAGAATTGTTTCACATTAGTGTAAGTTAAGAAATGAGAAAACCGATACGTATCACAGAATATCACATAAGAAGCCAGGGTAACCTCTGCCTAACAACTGAGGAGCTATTGCACACAGATGAAGTTGATTTGCGTGCACACACATATTTCTCCTCCCTTACTCAGACCAAGTTAAAGCTTTCTGAGCAAATTCCCCCACTGACATCAACCAGGATGCCCCTAGAAATGCTGAACACCAGTATGGATGCACAGGGCACAGAATGAGGCTGACAGCTGTACACTAATAAATGTCAAATATTAATTTATGGTACTGTTTGTGCAGCGATTTAAATCCAAATCCTTTTTCATCATTAATTTTAACAGGACACATGAAGAGAGAGAGGTAAGCATGAGCTTTATGTCAAAATCTGTAATGCCTATGTGACTATCTGCCAAAATATATTTCTCTGTCAGATAAGAAGTTCTGTCTATGAACACTGGAGATTTCAGCTGCAGTACAACACACAGATAATTAGACTTGAAAGGCTAATCAGTTCACCACTCTGGCTGGCGTCATCTATAGATGCACGTGCCTTCATCTTCCTACAGCTTGCCTCTTGATGCAAGCAACCCTCTCTGAAATAAGATGTTATATACAACATAACTCTGAACGATATATCCTGCCATAAGAGACCACAACCAGTTAGAAAAGATCCTTTTTAAGATGATCTGGCCTATTTTATGCTGTTGTCTTATTCATATTCATGTAGCCTTATGTCTTGCAGGTGCCTTTGAAGACACAGAAAGTAGAGATGCTCAACTCCTACTCTAAAAGTCTGTAGCCATTGTCAGCTTATACTCTTGGGTCTCCTAAAATGGTTCTCCAGAAAGCTATTATTGACTAATCAGCAGTACACTTCATTATGTTGTTGGATTCATGAATTTTCACTTTCACCTTCTCAACATTAAAGAGCTACAAATGGCTAACAACAGTATTTTATTATTTTTTTTTTAAGTTATTTCCTGGCAACATATTTCCTTTTTGTCAAAAGGATGCTCTATTTTGTTTCTGAAAAACAAGATCAATCTTCGCACTAATAATGACCTACTGAATAAAATCTGCACTACTTCCACAGTGCTTTTATAACAATATGCCGTATTTGTACCTTGGCTAACAAAAAAAAAAAAAAAAAAAAAAAAAACACTGTACAGCAATTGATCATTTCAGTCACCAGTGAAATAAAACCAACCGTGAGACAGATAATGGGAGCAGAACAATAGTGCACGGCTATTTAATGCTAGAGTTTAGACTAAGAGCTAACATAAAGCACAATGAAGCTATAAAGAAAGAAAGAATGTAACTACCCAGAACAGCTATAAGCCTTATTCCTCCAGAAATGCTGGCTAACCTGAGCGATGAGAAACTGTTTTGCCCTCATCTTCAAGATGAGCCCTTTGAGCAATGCAGAACCATCGCATCAATAAAGCACCAAGTCAGTGTCACATCCTGAAAGATCAGCACCTTCGAGCAGCACACGCAGCTTTCTTTTGGAGCTCACATTTCCCTCCTGTCAAAGTCAACCACTGAGTCACTTACATTGCAAAATCTGATGGGTACAAGTTGGCTGAAGGTGCTTCATTGCAAGTCTGTAGCCACTGGCTTGTCAGTATCAGCACCACGAAAGTCAAGGTGCAATTAGCATTAACTCTACATTCACCTTGATCTATGACTTGAGCAGTTTCAGTTTGTTGCACATTTCCATTTTTGTCTGAAGATTTCAAACAGTGGCTTCAAAATGGCTAACAATATGTTCTTCTCTAAATCCTGTGTAGTACAAGAATCAAATATCTTGAGCTCTATTTGATTTTTTCAAAGAATGTCAAAATAACAGATTTTGAAGCCTATTTTAAGAGTAGCAGAATTGTATAGAAGGAACACTAATTTGACTGACACAAAACAATTTTAACAGAAACAGTACCCCCGCATGCTAAACAATTTAGGATTACAATATGTAGTACCCCTGCTTTCAAAAATGTATTTTTTTTTTTTTTTATAAACTTTTAAGCAGATGTGAAAACAGCAAGCCTTCACAAACAGACCTATGCACTGACTCACTGGCATATCACCAATTAGCCACCAAAAGAGGTAAGAGAAGACTGAGGTGAAGTAGCAGGAATCTGTGAATTATGCCTAGTATTTCATGCTCCAGCTCTCAAAAGGCCAAAATGAAAGCACTGAGGACCATAATGAAAAACTTCAATCAAAATAAAATAAGCATCTACAGCTTATTTACATTGTCAAGCTTGATATCAAATGATAGCTTACCTTGAAAAATAATTCTACAATCTTCTAGTGGAGAAAAAGGAGTGCAGCCAAATAAATTACAAAGTTAGGGTAAAGAATACGATCACAGCTAAGAAATACATTGCTTTGTAATAAATCTGAAGAGAGACATTGAAGGACAATGATAAATGAAATCCTGGAACAAAGGAATTTGTGTGACGCTGTGCAACAGGAAAAGCCAGAAGAGATGGCATCTTGTGAAGAGATGATAACACAGTTCGTACAACAGGAAAAGCCAGAGGAGATGGCTTCTTGTGAAGAGATGATAACACAGTTTGTGGAAACATACCTAACGCCTTTCATCTTGAGAGAATCAGAAAACTTCCACTCTACACTTCCTGTAGCAATGAAATACAATTGAGGATGCAATCTCGGCACACAGCCAGTGCCCAGAAGATCATACAGCAGCAAACGTTCATCAGCTGCATTAGCGGAGAATTCCTAAAGACAGATCTGCTCTGGCCTCTGACATCTTGGCTACTTTACTCCTAATTTCAGTTACATTTACACCTAAAAATGGAGTGACTGTAGATCAACAGATCCTATGGGTTTGTTTACATCCACTCCATGTTACCAATGCAACTCTAATGAATTATGGTTATATTTCCCAAATGTTGTAACATAAGTTTATGTGATGTTTTAATTTTACGCAAAGTCAAGCTTTTGCATAGCATCTTTTGCATAGGAACAAATTTTACCCCATAATGCACTAACTGGACTTATATTTCCCTTAGGAAGAAGACAAATGGGTTTATGTAGCATGTGATTTCAAATCCTTTTTTATTCTGTTAATCTCTAGCTGTGGAATTGTGATTGAAATGCAAAAACGTATGTGTATTTTCTGATAAGAACCATTTTGTTTTAGAGACACGAAATGTTATCAAACATATACACTTTCTTCAGGTTTTTAAACTGATGATGGAAATTCTATAATCAGAACATGGCACAACCAATCCAGGTTAAATGATAACAATTTTTCAAAAGGAAAAAAAAAAAAACAACCCTTTGAAGTGTTCTTAGAGTTACATCCGCATAATCCAGACATGAGAAGATCGGCTTTCTTGACAACTCTGAATATACACTCTTCAGCTGGCTCCAGCTAAAAGCTAACACTTCCTTTTCCTTTGCAATGTCTTCTCTGATTCCTTAATAGCAGAAAGACACAGAACAAAACATTACCTCCACACGATTTTCCATCTTCCTGCAGTTTCTGGCCAGCTGGACATTTGCAGTGGTAGCTGCCGATGGTATTACAGCACTGATCGTGGCAGCCACCGTTCTCTGTGGTGCACTCGTTTACATCTGTGGGTGGAAAGCATTAGGCGGTCAGTAAAAAGTGGGCATTGACCAGATTACATGTTTATTTAAGAATATCTGTGTATGATCCTGATATTACAGAAGTAAAAAGTTACTGAGAAATACAGCTAAGGCCCCTTTAGGCCACCACCGCAGAAATGACTCCCAGCTATCTCATTGTGCCCCATCACGGAGCCGATAGATGCAATGGGGGGAATTTTTCCTCCTCCACTTCTGTGCAAGGTAAGATGCAAGGTCCACCCGGCCTCAGCTGCAGGCTGAGGGAGCTGGGGGTGTTTGGCCTGGAGAAGGGAAGGCTCTGGGGAGAACTCGCAGAGGCCTGCCCGTGCCTGAAGGGGCTGCAGGAAAGCTGAGGAGGGACTCTGTCAGGGCATGTAGGGATAGAACAAGGGGTAATGGCTTTAAACTAAAAGAGGGGAGATTTACATTGGATATAAGAAATAAATCCTTCACTCAGAAGGCGGTGAGGCCCTGGCACAGGCTGCCCCATCCCTGGCAGCGCCCAAGGATGTTGGAACTGGGTGGGCTTTGAGGTCCCTTCCAACCCAAACCCAGCCTGTGATTGCGATTCTTCTCATAAGAGCAACAACAATCTTTATACTGCCATTTCCACCACTTCACTTGTGTGCTAGGTTGCTGCCAGCATTCGTGACAGAGATGAAAAACCTCTAGAAAACGGTAGCACTAGAAAATAGTTAAGGTCCTTCTTTCCTCGGGATATGTGTGCACTTAATATCTGCACTCCTTGCCTATTCACCTGCTCAAACTGGTGCTTGCTTGCATGATTTTGAATGGGGAGAAAAAAATCTTTACACATTATAAATGAAGAACATTAAAGAACCACATAAATAATCAAGTAAATGACTAGTCAATGGCAGAGAAAAATCAATACTGAAGACATTTTCTTTTTAACCTGTGTACTCGTATATCCTGCCCAAGAATTTCTGAAGAAATGTGATAGAAATCTCCGGGCCAGTAATGCTCTGTTGAGCTGCATCGCAGACAACAGATGGTATGAAAGTATTTCCAAAGTAGAAAATTTGTCAAGTGGGATAGTAAATATAGCAAAACCAGCAGGTATTTGCTGTATTGATTTCATGTATTCTGGAAAGCATACTTGTGCATTACTTTCTGGCTTGCATCGCTCTCTCTGAAGTGTGAATGTTGTCTCGTAGACACGCAATTCGTCCACTGCAGAGGCATGGAGGGACAGCAATGAATCTGTACAAGAGCGATGGGTTGTGGGCATTTTTTATTGGTTTGGTGACAGACAACAGTGCACTGGTAAGGGGCAAGCCAGGGCTAGGGGCACATGCCAGGTTCCCAAAACCTGGCATGAGGATGTAGGTGACAGATGTCATGTCCACGAGGACTTCGATATTGGTAAGGATCACACGTTGCATTCAGGTTAGAGAGCAAGAGAGCTGCGAGGAGGAAGATTAAGCAATAGTTCATAAGCATCATCATGACTATACAAATTGGAGCAATTACTTCATATTAGGGGCACTCTACATCAGCACTGGGGAAATACAGCTTTTTAAAAAAGTTCTAATTAGACTCTGTCTAAGAGAAATACAAAATGCTGCAAAAAAAAAAAAAATCAAAAAAGAAAGAATTTCACATGTATACAAGAGAGATGAGAGCCTTTCAACTTCAATCCTTAGCTGCTAAAGACTAAGATTTACCAAGGTTCGTTAGTTCTTTGATGAGCTTGAGTTTAATTTTACTAGTTCATTTATGATCCTGTCTAAAAACCAGAGTTCAAAGAAATTTTGGGGGAGGTTTCAGATTATTAACAAGCTAAAGGAAAGCACATCATACAATGTCAACATTTACTAACACATATCTGAAGAGGCACGATCTCACTGAAAACATCTCATTTCTCTGCAGCTAATTTCTCTACAGCTCTACATTCAATGCAATGACCGACACAGTAAAACTTTCTTTATTCCCAGTGACACTGACAAGCACTGGCAAGTTGGATTTAAAAAAATACATCAGTTATGTCAGAGCTACACAACAAAGCAAATCTTAACTCACACGAAGTCAGCAAGGCTTTTCTCTTGATTTCATGGAAACACAATTTAGATGGAAACTTTTCTGAAGTAAAACACTTACACACCCCGAAACGCAAAAGCAACCCGTACCGAAATAAAACACTCGTCTGTTCGCTTCTCAGCAAGAGACTGAGAGAACATATGACAAGCAACAGATTTTAGTCCTGTTCCTCAAAGCACAGGAAGAAGGCACGGTAGCGCTGAGCATCGTACAGAAGATCGACAAAGCAGACGTGTTCCAAGTGATTTACTCCCTCTAACTAGCACACATCTTGATATGCCTTGTGGTAATAAACAGTAATGAGCCGCATAATAACCCTGCTCCACAGCTTCAACTTCTATTTATACTAGCAGAATTGAAAACTAATAAAATCTCTTGCTCTTTATTTTTTTAAACAAAATTATGTGAGGAACTACTTTATTTTTCTAGACCATGTTTAGCATCTGCAATACTACATGACCTCCTAGTATAAAATATTGACTAAGTTCTGTGGTCTATAATATACAACCTAATTTATTAACACCAATGTCTGTATTTTCAACCAAAACACTGAAAGAAAACCTTTCAAGCTGAGAAGCTAATCATTATCCTCTTGATTTCACAAGGGTATAATACACGCGGAAGTCTATGGTGCTATTGCATACTAATGTACAGAACATTTTTCCTTTTGATTGCAACATATTTATATTAGCAATCAGGAATCTTCTTGTTCAGCATAAAAAGCTGTGACCCACCCATGTGTTTTGCCCCAGTAAAAGAACTGGTGCTTCTACAACTCTTTATCTTCTTTCATCTCTTTTTCACATGCTGTGTCCAGGATTTCCTCATCTCTGCCTTAAAAGTTGTTTTTATTCTATGCTTTTATTTTTTTTTTTTGGCTGTTTCTTACACCAGAAATCTACTGCTTTTTCTACTGCATGCAGAAATTCTGACTTTTCATCCATACTCCTCTATAAAACAAATATGTCATTTAAAGCTAATCGTCATAACTCAGAAACTAAATTATAGGTATTGTAAGACAGCAAAATGAGCTTTTGACATAGCCTTTTCCCTACGACACAGCACACATATCTGAAGGCATAACCCTCATTAGGTACAAGCCACAGTAGTTCAAAACTTAGTGTTAAGGAAATTTGCTCTCTAAGCACCTGCATCTGCAATGTACAACCTCCTGTACAAGAGCTTCTCCACTGCTTGTATTATGCCAACTTGTTTTTAACAGTCCCAATAATAAAGGTCAGAAGTTGCCTCAAACAAGCACAAAAATAAGTTATCTGAATGTGAAATAATAACAAATTCGTTTTATATTTACAATGTTAAAACATGGTTCATATGGCCCCTGTAAGCTATTCTATATTCCTAAAACACAGAGTAGGCAGAATTTTAATGTCTGATTACAGATTTGCCACTGTAAAGAAACAAAACAAAACAAAAAACAACTACAACAAAAACAATTCTGTCAAATGATAAATTTCTGTCTGCTTTCCATATTCAATGTCATTCAAGGTTGCAAATATATTTGCCTTTTGGATAGCAAGAAAAATGACAGAAAATTTCTGACATGTAACAAGTCTGCCAGGTTAGGGCTGACAAAAGTTCAATGTTATCAAGACTATCAATCCATCTGTAATGACATGCTGTAGGCGCTTCAGAAAAATAAATGTGATGCTTTCTACTGCAATATTTCACATTTATTTATAGAGCCAATGTTGCAACACAAAAACATTCTCCACGGGACATACTTTATGTGAGTTTTCAATGCTTTCAATATGTTTTCAAACGTATGAAGTCTTAGAGAATAAAAATGAAAAAAAAATCTAGATTAATTTGATATTAACTTTGTATATGATGCCTGTGATGTGTGTGGAAAAAAAAAATCACAGCATTTTAATACACTAGAATTCAAAAATGTAGATTGTAGGCATCTGCCTACATCCCTTGCTCTCAGCACAAGGTATTGTAAAAATGCATTCATTTGTCCAAAAAGCTCCTCAAATATTTGATATCTTCAGCATAGGAGAGCACGTCCGTTTTTCAGGAAATGGATCACCTTTGCTCAATTAACTATGCCTAGGAGCTATATGCTGGGTGGAGAAGGACTGATCCCAGTAGCCTTCTCCATTCCTGTTGAATGCTCCTGTCTGAAAGTATCAGATAGCAAGCCAGAGCAAGCCAGAAAAAATCTTTCACAAAGATTTTTGGGAAGTCTAGACGATTTTAGATTTCCTACAAATAAATGCAAAATTTTTATAAATGCAGCACTGGACAAAAATGAATTCCAACAATGAACTGAATCACCTTCTATTTTTGGCAACAATTTCAATCTACGGGACACACTAGCCTAGAAGCAATAGTATTTTTAGGTAAAGGATTTTACCAGTATAACAAGTTTAAGGAATTTGTATTACTATAAAGATTAATTTTTAAGTCAACAAAGAGAATCTCATAGCCGCAGCCCATTATTTAGTGTTTTTTTTCCCCCCAAGGTTGCTATATTTATCAGTTGCAGATGAGCAACAACTTTATTTAATGCAACCACATGCAAACTTGCCATTTCAGTGACCACTCGCGGAGGCTAACCTGTGCTCTGAACCGTAAGCAGCTGACTTCAGCGCATGTCATAGCTCAATGGGCTTGTAATAAATCACTGGAGTGGAATAAAATCTGCAAAATCATTCACATTGTTATTGCAATACCACACGAACAAAGCCCACCACTACGGAAAGGGGAGGTTATTTTGATTAGTTTGAAAGTGTTTGGCTAGCACACTGTGCTTCAATTAGGGGTCAAAGTAACCAGAACATGTTTATTTAGGAGGAATACAGCAGTTCACTAATAGCACATCATCCCGGTTGTGATTTTCTCCTGAAGACTGGGGTGAAGATGGGCAGATTTCAGGAATCTAAATATTAAGCAACTTTATCTAA